ATTAAAAAAAAAAACTGCCTATTGCCCTTTGCCTTTAGGCAATAAAAAGTATTTGACTTAATGGGTCCTCTTAAGAAAATATGAGTGACTGAACGCTCTATAGAAATGACGAATTGTTTTTCTGTTTTACAACTATCAAACAGTATTGTTATCGAGGGGATAATTTTATGGATGTAGTTTCGATGATGAAAATATGTTGAAAAAAATAAAGTTTTATGTTATTTTTACGTTATGTTAATTTTTGCTGATAAATTCATACAACAAAATGCATAGAATTGCATAATAAAGAATAGTTTGTTTCTTTTTTTGTTTAGAAAATTAATATATTTTAATTTACAAAATTATAAATAAATCAGGAATGGTAATTCACCAAGTTGTGATATATCATAGGTAAATGCTTCTATCAAATGTAATAAAATGAAATGTAAAATTTAATTTGAAATTTGCTGTATAGAGTATTTTATATACTTTTTAAATCTATTACTGCACCATTTTCTAATTGTCAATTAGTTCGTCAATGATTATCAATCTATCAATGTCACGATCTTGAAACCGTTTTCTTCCCCCAAACTGGTCTACGCTGCCTTTAGCTGAGAAACGACTCTGAAGTCTGAAGGTAGAGAGACCTTTGTAGAATGATATGAGCAGATGCGTACCACAGAGATTATAGTTGACTATACATTTTGTAAAACACATGTCGTTTTAACATATTGCATATATATCTCTCGCATAATTGCGAAATGATCGGTACGATACGTCTACGTAGGACTTAATAACGATGCGACCATCTGCGCATTATGATAATAGCGCATAATTATTTCCTTGAAAACCGTGAAAAAGAATTCCACAGAGATGACGGTGCAGCGCTAATTATTTTAGTGCGACGTTAACAATTCTTCACATTATGAATACTTTAAAACACAAAATGTGTCGCGCGTTTTAGACAGACAAAGGACTCATTCGACGTCGCTCCATTTCATACGAATAGGAATGTTTTCAAGTCGGTCGATTACCATGTCGGTTAGCAATCGCACGACACATTTCCATTTTTCCTAAACAATTTTTCATCAAAATGTCACGATAGCGTATCGCTCCATATGCCGCGTAAACGTGTAGCCTAATGATAATAACGAGTTTCATTGGGGGCTTTCGAGTGGCGATCTCGTTACTCGCACATTGCATTCAAGGAGCACTGACGAGACACTTCCTCCACTTTTGATCATTATCGAATCGTAGCCAATCGTAGCACAACGCGAAGAAGCTGTCCTTGCACCATAATTCAAAGATACCAAACTTTCAGTATGCTGAGACTATTTAACGTTTTATTTGTAAGATGCTGAAATTCAATAAAATATTTTATTATTCTTTTAGTGCAGCATGCGCTGCATGGAGTATATGAAAAATGATCTGAAGGAAAATCATACAACTTTGCAACATATTTTTATAACCAAATCACATTCATACTTAACTAGCAAGTAATACTTGATCTGCGTCTTATTGATCTTATTAATCAGCGCATTTTGTTATGTGTTAAACAATCTTTTTGTCAAAATAACGCTACATAATAAGCTATACAAGCGTTATATCTGACTCGCGTGTCGACATAATTTGATGATAAAGCAAAAAATATATTAATTCCGCAAATATGGATAACCATTTAAAAGTATAGCTGCTAAAACAATAAACTATAAAGACTTTTTTCTATTTTATATTTAATAAATATGTGCCTACGCATTTGTGTGTATCTCAATTTTAACAAAGAATATAAGAAAAATTCAACCTAATATTTTATCATAATATTTTACAATCATGTTGTACAATAATCGAAAGCTTTATTTTTAGAAATTAGTTGCTTCGGCTAAAACCGAAATCAGATATTATACAATTTCAGAACATCGGTGAGAATATTATTTCGGAATTCTGAATAAAGTACAGTTGTTTGTTGTTATAAAAATTTCAACAACACGCAAGGTTTATTTAATAAAATAGAAGAGAATTATGTGTCACTTCAGATCACTCGGATTTCTCCCGGTATAAATTGCAAAAGCTTATAAAAAGATTGACAGCCGTAGCCGATAATAATTACAAACAAGAATTTAATTGATATGAATATATATTTGGTGCATTACACATAATTATTTAGCTGTTTTACATGAAATTTTTCTTCCTTTTTAGTCACGCTATTTACAAATGTAAATTCCCCTCTACCTACTTTCTAATGTAAAAACATATTTGTATTAAATGTATTTGTCCTCAATATCACAGATATTATGTCATTATAATACTTCTTTTGTTATTTAAGAAACATAGTCCTGGAATGTCAAGCAAATAATATTTAATTTCAGCTACTACATTATTATTACTACATTTGTCTTATATTTTATACAATGCAAAAAATGCAGAGAATGTAGAAAAAAATAACAGATCAGAAATTCCATAAATTACAAAGAAAGAAAGAATTTAACGAGATGAATGAATTACGATTAGCGTTCTATTTGTGATTTCAATATATACAATGTTCAAATGTATAGTGAATGTTCTTTTCGTCACCGATATTATAAGCAATGTTTGAAATATCTTTTATTCCTCGCAGGCGTGTTTTACGGATATTTTTAAACACACTCGATTACACCCGCGAATAGTTTTACGTGGTAACCTTCAATTCTCGAATAAAATACTCGTAAAATTTTTATTGTGAAAATCGGCGAAAGGTATAACCGTTCTAAGAAACGACGAGTACCCGACCTTTTTTCACAAGTTTTTATTTCGGTTCTCCAAATATTAAAGTGTATGATTCTTAAAATTTGTAAGTACATTAAGCAAATATATTGCTATTCATCGTTTCGCCATTTATTCATACCAAGATGCCACTTATTCAACCTTTGATGATGGAATCTTGATAATACAAACATCATGTTTATAATGATTGGCACAAATATGTTTTCACTCCAAATACAGAGTGTGGTCTAGTTGAATTTCACACTTTGGTATGCGCGCGTTAAATTTCCAGATAATTCTTTTCTTGAATAAAAATCAAATACTAAATAACTTTTGATTAATTAGCGCTGAAAAATACTTTCCATATGAACCAAACTTTCGGTAGAAGTGGCAGATAGAAAACAAAATTATATACTTTTTTCAATTTCAAGAAATTTTACTTCAATTAAAAAATTTAGTCAAATTTTAATTCAAAGCTCACAATTACAATGTACAATACATGATATAAAAACTCGAAAAATTGAAATTTTTGTGCAAAATTCAAATCTTTATTTGAGAGGAGACACTCTGTATTTCTTAAAAATAAAAAAAACCGAGATGTTGAAAATATATTGCTTGAAAGTGTTATACCTTATGTTGCATGATGATTGTAACAGATAATCCGTGCGCGGTACTCGAAAATTTCTCTTTCTCTCTATCTCTATCTTCCTTTTTCTTTCGTTTTGATCACTCTTTCTTTCTCGCGATATTTGCTCTTCATATGCGAATATTGATTCCGGAGAGAAGCGACTCGGTTCAAACAGAAACAAGTCCCGAGACAACGACCTCGCCAGACGACTTGTGCGTGTCACGGTCGCAAACGCGCGCGACTGTCGGTGATATTCGTACGATGGCTTACCCGAAGCCGATTTTCAAAAGGCCCCGCTCTCTTCCTCCGGAGGGTTACCCTCTCCATCCTGGACCGATACGTCGACACGGGATTGGACGACCCCGCCAGCTGGATCCCGTGCGTGAACCTTTCACCGTCCCACGCACCCCTTCCGCAACAGGGGCAGGGGGAAGGAGGGAAGTGCCCCAGAAAGAAAGAAAAAGAAAGAATAGCGGATCTCCCAACCGTTCGAGACACGAAAGGCGCGGCGACCTCTTGATAGCGGCATCCGATACCGTCTCTGGAATCTACGAAAGCAGCGACGAGAGCAAATAACGAAATTAAGTAATTATAGATTCAATAGCGTTTAATCTTCACGAATTTTGTACGTAAACAATTTTGTGACGCTCGATAGCTGTCCGATTTTGCACTGGAAGAAAAAAGACGGAAATTGTCGATTCGTAAGAGTATTGAAATCGAGTAATCCCAGTAATACTCGTATTACGGAAAAAAGGGAGTGTTTTGCGGACAAGCATGGATCGATACGAATATCGGGTGACGAGAGAAGTGCGCATTTATTATTATCAGAAACACCGATTGCAAAAACATTACATCGTACGAATGTCAATGAAATCTGTCGTAAAAGTCACGAGATGTGAAAAATGATTTCTTAAAATGTTGAATATAAATAAAGATAAAAGGGAGGGGGGGAGAGAGAGAGAGAGAGAGAGAGAGAGAGAGAGAGAGAGAGAGAGAAGA